ACGTATCTTTACCATCTGGGTTACTTTAGGGCTTGAGGTGGATGGTTTGTCATTTTTGTAGAGATGGAGCTGTTCCTGCTGGTATCCTGGAGACCATTAATAATTATGGAGGCATTATCTCCATCTCATTTCCCCAAATCTTAAGTTGACAGTTCTTCCCAATGATCTAGTATTCAGGGAATTCACTTGCTCTGTTGGGCAGAGACAGTTGAAGCGTAGGGAACATGTGATGGGAACTGAGTTTTACATGTTCCAAAGACATACAATACAATTCTTTTTGGAGGTTTTCCTTGATAATAGCTATGCCCCAGAAAACCATCTTGTTTAACCAGTGTGATAAGTTGACAATGTAGTTTTCCTCTCTGATTATAATGTGCTCTGTGTAGTCAATACACTGGTACCATGTGAGTGTAATTTCCTCTTTTATTTGATCTCCAATGCACTGTATTATAAATAAACAGTTAAAAAAAAACACCAAACAAATCTGTTGCATTTCCTTTTAAGATTGTACCACTGTAGACACTTGTTCTAGTAAAGTAGAATTGGGCACATTTGATTGCATTTAAATTTTTCATGCTTCAGCAGTTTGGCTGGGAGCACAGCAAAGAAAAATCCCATGAGCGAGGAGAGTTGAGAATAATAGAACTTGATTTTGTGTATTATAGCGGCAACATTTGCGCTGCTTTAGTAGGGTTGTGTCAGCACTTCCATTATAAACCCCTGTTTTCAGGGGCTCTAACTAGGAAGATATTTTTTTTAATACAAATTAAAAAACAATTCATTTGAATGATTTTTAAGTTATAATAGAGCAAAAATAAAACAAAGTAAAGTCACATAGAAATTGACCATTTTCACAAGGATTTTAATTTTTCTTTGCTCATTAGTTCGGTGGTACATAGCTAGGTAAGGTGCTCGCTAATGTACAGGGGCGTGCAGTGGGTGGGAACATTTTTGTGATGGATAGTATCATCCATGAGTGCATTAAAAGTAAGTGTAAGAATTCCACACAAAGCTGAAAAATCTTAATTAGCAAGGTGCATTTGATTCATAAAGCAGGTGACTTGGGTACAGTGTGGGAGTAGGGGTATTGCCAAAGTCAAGTGTCTGTGCATTCTAGCATTAAAAGTAAGTGTAAGAATTCCACACAAAGCTGAAAAATCTTAATTAACAAGGTGCATTTGATTCATAAAGCAGGTGACTTGGGTACAGTGTAGGAGTAGGGGTATTGCCAAAGTCAAGTGTCTGTGCATTCTAAAGTACAGTTCAGTTGCTCTAGGAATGTGTTCAAGGGGGGAATTTTAGGGCTAGCAAGAGTGCCAAGGTGAGGCTACTTAGAACTGCTTGCTGTGCAAGCCTGATGTGAGTTCGATTCCCAGAATTCACTCCTGGAAGTTGTCCTCTGACTGCCACATGCACTATTTGGCAAGTGCATGCTTGCACCTCCTCCTCCCTGCTCCTACCCAAATATTAAAAATAACAGAAGTAGGGTGATTAGTTCAATTGAAAGATTGTATAACAATTTAAGTATACAAATTAGCAAACCAGATCCAGTAGTAGTAAGTCTATGATTTATTTTCTAAGCTATGTGATATCAAGATGGCTCAGCAGATAAAGGCCCTTGCAGCTAAAGGCACTGACAACCTGAGTTCAATCCCCAGGACCTATGTAGTGGAAGGAGAGAACCCACTCTTGTTGTCTGGCCTCCAAACATGCATGTCTGTGCATGCGTATGTATGTATGCATACTCACACACACAATGAATATAATATTAAAAATGTATTAAAACTAAGTAGCATGCATTTTATTATAAAATAAACAAAACCACGACGTAGAACAGTGGTTCTCATCCAGTAGGTTACAGCCCCTATGGGGGTCGAATATCAGATATCCTGCATATTAGATATTCACATTATGATTCACAACAGTAGCAAAACTACAGCTATGAAATAGATACAAAATAATTTTATGGTTGAAGGTCACCACAACATGAGGAACTGTATTGAAGGACTGTAGCATTAGGAAGGCTGAGACCCATTGACCTGGAATAATATAGCAACAAAGCTACTGTTGAGAACAAACTGAAACAGCCCAACATTTTTATCAAAAGGAAATACCTTGGTGAGAGAACAAGAGTCTTCTTTTCCTCTATGGACAACATAGTTAAGAATGCTAATAAAACAAGCACAGAGGAGGAAGTAAAGTGTTATCTGGAAAGTGCTCTTGGGACCCAGCCTGTTGACCTCTTTATAAAGGGCTGGACTGGGGAGCCAGGCCTGCCTTCCCTGGTTCTCCTACCTCCCCTACTCCTCTGTCCCATTTGTAGTGTGAGCTGAGGATGAACAGTCGACTTTAATATACTGGCAGCCTATCTGGTATTTGCAACCTTGATACACATTTGTGTTTGTAGGTGTAAAATAAAAGACAGCTTGTGTGCCAATGTAAATAGGCTCTGATGGGTCACTGGAGGGCTCACCAGAAGACTGCCAATGAAGGAGAGGTGAAGCCTTTCTCCACTAATTGTATTCAGCGTGTAATTTCTAAACTTCCCTCTGAATTTTGATTTTCAATTAACACTCCCCATTTGAAGATAATTTTCTATTTAATGTAATTGCAGGAAATAATTTATTGGCTGATTAAGACTGAGGACCCAGCCTTCCTTAAGAAAAACACTCTCACCAACCAGCCTTTAAACTCAACTCATAGCTTTGGACAGATTGAGTCTATTTTTACAGCTGCAGGGTTATTAATGAGGATCATACACTATTGTTAACTAGTATAGTCTGTCGTCAAAATGATTCCTTAAGAGACTATTTGCATTTTTGGGTTTGTATGATGATTAATTTTTACTAAAGCAATAATCACAGCTACTGATCCTAGAAGGCACCTGATAACTTTGTAATAAGAGGCTGTTTGTTGGGAGAACCAAAGTCACTCTGAGTTTTGGATTATGACTTTTACTTGTATTTAATTGCTTCTAAAAGGTGTCAGTCTACTCATTCATTCATTTTTTTTAGTGTGTGTGATTACATGAGATGTAACTGCCCATTATCTGAACAATACAAACACCCTTGCTGTTTGTGACCATCCCTTAATAACTTGCAGGACAGTTATAATTTCCTGGTTTTGCTGTAGTATATCTGGGGCCAGCACAGTAGGTTCAGCAGTGACTTTTAATAGAGACTCATCCTTTGGTTAAGATTTTCCATGTGTGCATGTATTTGCCCATTTGTTAGCACCAAGAGAAGTCACTGAAGAATGTGTCTGAGTCTTTGAAACAGTACTGTTTAGAACATTCAGTTTCTCTCTTTTTAGGGGAAATAGAGCTATTCTGCACACTTTCCCTATTTTATTTTCCAGTCTCATCTAAATAGTTTTAGTATTTGTACAATGATTATTATAAGTAGGTATCAGCATTTTAATATGTTTCAAAGCACTTCAAAAGCCTGTAATACTTTTATTTAGAACTGTGCATAATTAGATTAGCTGATCTTCTATTAATGTTTTTCACTGTAGGATACTAACTCTGAGCCCCCTCATTAATTGTGAGAAATTTAGCATTAGCTGTTAAATCCTATGTGAAACATGGGCTGCTACATAAAAACTACTGTTTAAATTGGAATTAACTTAATTATTTTTCCTTGCACTTGATATTTCCTTCACTGCAATATTCATGAAAGCATGTGACAGATTTGTAAATTTAACTGTTAATCTCAGATTTCTAGACTCTTTAATCAGTATTTATTTGTCTGTAGAAACAGTACAGGCAAGTTAATGATTTGCTAATTTGAAAAATGCTCATGTGGTTCCCTATGTTAACTGATTTGTGCATTTAAAAAATGGTATGAAATCAATTAATGTTAAAGAGCAATTAAGGTAGCGATTGTATTCCCATCATTACCTAGCAGTCTCAAAGGAAATACAATAAATGAAAATCAACGTGAAGTTTTAGGGAAAAATGGTTTCTTCCCTCAATTCAGAAACTTTTAGTGGTTGGGTCACTAACCACTTTCCTGAGAAATTCATCTTTCTAAAGTGATGTTTTCAAAGTTTTGTAATTTTGTATAACATCATGATTTCTGACCTCATATGAAACACAAAACAAAGACATCATACATAGTCTCTTGATTGTTTCTTTGTGGAGACTTCAACAAATGATATTGTTTTATGAGCTTTTGGTATGCACAGTAAGCATTTAATTTTTGCATAGTAAGTGCTATAAATCATGTATGTACTTTCTGTCACGAAATAGACTGATAGTTACTTCAGAAGCTCAACTCAAATGGCACAAAGTTGTTACAAGATTTATCTAACTCTAGAAGCCACTCAGTCAACATGTTACTTAAATATTAAAAAGCAATACTTAAAGTATCTTGGAAGTCTTCAGCAAGCTTCACATTGGCCCTTGATGTTAGATCTGGCATTCACAATCTAGGTGTAAGCTAGGAAGTCATGGCCAATTTGCTTAGCATATTAAGGATGAATTATTTACTTGTTTTTTATGTTTTACATATGCTCTTTTCTTTCCTTCAGAGCTTTGGGAGAAAGTTAGATAATTTTGCTCTGAAGTCATTCGTCAAACTGGCTCATCAGTTCATTCACTCATTCCTTTCATTATTAACCACCAACCTAATTACTCTCCAGAAACTCAAAATCCAGTTGTGAAAGCTAGGAGGAAGGACGTACAAATACATATATTGTACATCATGAAAACTTATAAGGATCATATTGGGGGTTATGTAAGAGAAAATATGCAGCAGTTAGTGGGAAGATGTTAAGAGAGTGGAAAGCAAAGAGGGGGGAATGGAACAGATAAGCCATCAGTCCTTTGTCTGTAGTTTAGACTGTTAATATCCCTCAATTTCAAGGATTTTTATTTTACTTTTTGCTCGCATTAATCAAATACAATGATATTTGTATCTAATTTGTATCTAATTTGTCTGTCTTCTAATTTTATTGAGAGTCCTCTTTAATTCATGGTGTTTCCCTTCTTTTGCAGAAGAATGTCTTCCAAGCAAGCCACCTCTCCATTTGCCTGTACAGCTGATGGAGAGGAAACAATGACCCAGGATTTGACCTCAAGGGAAAAGGAAGAGAGCAGTGATCAACATGTGGCCTCTCATCTGCCTCTGCACCCCATAATGCACAACAAACCTCACTCTGAGGAGCTACCGACGCTTGTCAGTACCATTCAACAAGATGCTGACTGGGACAGCGTCCTGTCATCTCAGCAAAGAATGGTGAGCACTGAAAGTCTGTGACTGCTACCAACTATGTCTACATCCTCATTATAAGTAGATGCTTTAAGGGAAACTAAAACACATGGCTTCAGTGTTATTCCTGATCAGGTCAGAAAAGAAATACAAGACATACAGTTGCTATTATTTTAGTAACTGGGAAAAGTTGAAAAGTAGTTTGTGATTTAGGGTATGTCCATCATTAGGTCCACTTGACAAAAGAATATTGATTTACTTTTTAAACAAGAGGAGTCAGTTATCTTATTTTTGTATTCCAATTTAATGTGACAAATTTAGTAATGTCATAAAGAGGTAGTAAAATGAAGTGTGGTTGTGTATTAATATTGAGAAATTAAGTTAAGCAAATATGTCTATGAGAATGAGAGCATAGTATGACTACATCTTCAATAAGGATATATCAGTATCTATAATGTTTAATGACAAGTTTTGGTTTTTAATACTTTTCTCATGTACCTATATAATAATTTCAAAGCAGCATGCAAGGCTCCTAGTTAATGGTTCAATCAGACTGCATGGTTTTCTCCTACAAGCAGAAATGACATGTTAGGTGATGACGAGAGTAGGCAGCTTTCCCATGATGAATTCTATCTTCTAACCATCAAAATACAAACCTTATGAGTGACTTAATTATCTAGTCCAAATAAAAAAATCTTTATTTTTTATCATCTATCTAGAAGAAGCCAGAACCTTATTATGTCTTATTAAGTTAGAAGTTTCAACCCTGGCTTGTTTTCCTTAACTTGTGGGTAACCAAAAATTAAGTTAATGAAAAAAAAATTTAAGCAGACAATGTGAGTTTTATTCCTTAACAAAAACCAAGATATCATTCAAAATGCCTTTGCTAACAAAAGCACGTATGGAGATGAATAACTTCTATAGGAAGAAAGTTTTCTTTTCAAATAATTTTGTAGACACAGCCTGTGCTCCAGAGCAGTAGGTGGGAAGGGGGTGCGGATCCAAAGATGTGTGAAGCATGTCTTGAATAATTTTAGTTTTACTCCAGGATCTAAAAGCTTTTATTTATTTATTTTTTGACACATCTCAATTATACAGATGAACAAATTTCACTATGATATTCCCATACATGCATATAGTATTTTTTAATTATAGTTTTCTTCTACCATTTCTTAAGCACCCTCTTCCTCTCCTTGTCTATTCTATATTCCTAATAGACCTTTTAGGTCAGTGTTCCCTTCTTCCAACATACCCAACTTTCATATATGGGGGAGCGGGGATACTTGTCCTTGTGCATTTGACTTACTTCACTTAACATGATGAACTCCATTTTTTCTTCCAAATGACATCATTTTGTTGTTCTGTTTGTGGGGAATCAACAATGTACAGTTTGCTGGCTATAGATGTATCTCCCACTGGGAGGGTGGAGGCAAATATATAATGAGACAAGGATGAAGTACATTTTCTGATTGAACTTAACTTGTTCATTCCTTGTCTTCAAGGTGGCATGGATGAGAGAGATAGTCAGGATAATGAGACTCTGCTTGATCTTTATTTGAACAAATATTTATTGGGCACATTCTGTCTGCCAGGCATTCTACTAAATACATTTGTAGTATGGTGAAGCAGATGTGATACATGCCATCCGGGATTTTGTACTGTTGGGCATGGGATAGACATGCAAATACATACATAGTTAAAGTTGTGACATGTGCTGTGAAGATCAGAATGTTGTCTGAAAGCACAATAAAGTGAGTCTAACTGAATAGATTGGTAGGATGCCCTCTCCAAGCCCAGGATGACAGGAAGTAGTCAGAGTAGGGCAGAGGAAATCCGTTGAGAGAGCAGTATGTGTGGAGTATCTGAGGTGATAAAACCATAAATTAATTTAAGGAAATGAAAGATGGTCTTTGTGGTCAGAGGATAATGAATACATCAGATGTGGTTGGAGAAACAGATAGGGGCCATATCATCCAGGCCTTGGAGATGGCATTGTGGAGGTGAGATTTCATCTGAGTGTAGTGGGAACAGCCTTTGAAGGGCTGAAGAACGTTTCTCACAGATAATTCCAACTGTGGTACCATGAATGGATGGGCAGGCAGCAAGAGTGAAAGGAGGGGGAGCCACTGGGATTTCTATGTCAGAAATCTAGATGAAAGATTATGGTGGCTTGGATTAGTGTAGACAAAGAGGGGACACAGAGAGGGACTGGTTCAAGAGAGTTTTGCTTTTATGCCATGTGCAGGCCTGACCAAATAAAAGTAACTGGAATGGAAAATGTGTGGGTAAAGGCAGGGACAATACAGTTCAAGTTCTATTTCTTCAGAGGGCACTTTCCTTATTTTTCCCAGAAAAACTTTATATTTTGCAAGTTGCTTTTCTGAGTTCATCTGAAGCTTTAGTTATTCAGAATTTGTCAAAAATAGATACTAATATATATGTAATAACTTATGTTACATATGATTTATGGTAGTACCAAATCGCTTAAGGTTGCAAACATGTTAGAGATTAGTGAGACAGAAACCATTCTCATAGAAATGTTTCCAAACTTTCGCTCTGCTTTCTGCTAGAGCTTTTGTGTTCTTTGAACGCTGGGAAGCCAAAATATTTGTTTAACTCCCACTCTATAGCATTTTCCAGCTGTGTACTTATATGGTGCAATAAAAGGATTTAACAAATGGGAAATAGCAGCTGCATGTGGAAACTCTCTTTGTGTTCCCTCTTCATCAGATAGATTCAACAATGTGGCAACTGTAACCTTAGACCTATAATGACCTAGGCTGCACATCAGGTCACCAGTCAGCTTCTGTTTTTTGTAAAGAAAAACAACGGAAGGATTTTAAGTTCCTGCCAGACATGCAAACGTCTCTCTCTCTCTCTCTCTCTCTCTCTCTCTCTCTCTCTCTGTGTTGGAGTAGGAAGACTGTGACTGAAGTAAAATTCTAATTAGTTCACTAAATATGAAGTCCAAAAGAGCATTGATAAAGATACCTGAAATTTGCAGTTCTTTTCAATGGATCATGCTTGCTTCTTTTGTTTGTAGTTTTCCCACATACCATAAGCTGAGTCCCATAAAATACTTTGGAGAAATAAAAGCTAAGAATGACTACAACACACATTTGTTAACACCTTTTCCATTTCTGTAATTTAGTTTCCATGGTGGTTCTCATCTCCCTGATAGCATTTTGTCCACTGAGTTCAGAAGGGTTTCACTGGGAAATATGAAGACCCAAGAGGTGGCTTTCTCTAAACAAAGGTAGAAAAAGCAATGAAATTCTGCCAATCTCCATGAATTGACTAGAAAAAACATTACATGTTAGAATTCTGGTTATTTTGAATTGGAAATTCAACAAAATAAGACTTCACACAGTTTCCAAGAAGTAAAAAAAAATGTGTAATAATCTAAGCACATAAGGAGGATCAAGATTTTAGAGAGAAATTCACAGCCCAATGCAATATAAAGCATTTAGACACATTTTAAACAATTATAGAAACCAAAACATCTATTTTACAATTTTGTGTCTTATATCAGTTGGTGACTCTTTTTTGATGGTTGAAAAGTTAGTACACATAAAAATTGCTCTCTGCTTCTGTGTACAACCACTCTGTTTTTGTCATGGCTTCAGGGTACTGATAGAATTTTTGGCACAGGAACATTGGCACTGTCCAATGACATGCATTATTGTTCTCATTGGCCTCATGCCATCAGTAAGGAATTTGCCCACATAATTTCTTCATGTGAAAATGCACAGGGCACCATTCTTTCTTATGTCAGCATAAAGGAGCACCTCTGTGATAGTTTGTAGTGATCCGTATCTGTTCTTATAGGTGGTTATTTTCTAGAAAAGTTTCAAGTGTAGAAAATACGTGTGAGCCCAGGCATTGCTAGTAAACTTCTCTGTAAATATACAGATTTTTGTGGGGTATGTTGTGTAGGTATTTATATGTACCTACTTGTAGCAAATGAATGATTTGAGAGATTCAAACCGTCCTATGTTCTTCTCCTAGTACAATTTTGTTTTTTTTCTTTAAAGTACAATTTAAAGAGCTAGCATCATCATCATTACTGGCTATGGACATTTGAAATAATGACTCAGTTCCAGACACCAAGACTGACTTTTGATAATATCAGATTTCTGTCCTAATAGGATTTACACAGCACACAGTCTCATAGTAAGGCAATTCAAACAATGGGGAAATCTAGAAAGGGAGAATGACAGAACAGAAGGAAGAGCTTCCTGGAGATGACAATCCTGAACTAAAATTTGGAACAAGTCAACTGTGCAGAAGCTTGGGGGTGGGAACCTTTCAAGTGTGTAATAAGTACAAAGGTCTTTTTAAAATTTAATTAAAAAATTTTTTTAAAACTATTTAAAAAATAATTAATTAGTTATTTTTTTTTTACATTTTTGGACTTAAAATCATGGGTTTTTATTCTTTGTAAATTTCACACATCTTTAGAACATATTTCTATTGTCTACTTCCTCCCCACCACGTCTCTTCAACTTTCTTTGGGAACCACCAACCTAGCTCCTTCTTGACTTCATATCCTCTTTTAAAATTTCTTATTATATTAATAAATTATATTAATAGTTCCCTGAGTTCAATTAGTGCAAAACACATGTGAAAGGATGTAGAACCCTCCACTGGGGCATAGTCAACTTACCAGTGGGCACATCCTTCGGTAGGGATGGAGCCTAAGCAATCCCTCCTCATTCATGCTGGGATTTTTACTGGTTTGATCATGTTCAGGTCTCTTACAGATAACCACCACTGATATGAGCTGATGTGTACACCAGACATGTCATGTCCAGAAGGCAGCATTCTATAGCCCTCCTCCCCATTCTCTGTCTCTTATATCCTTTATTCCCACTCTTCCATGATGTTCCTTGAATCTTGTATATGGAGAGGTTTATATTGCTGAGTACCTAAAATCAGCACTTTGGCCAGTTATGAGTCTCTGAATTAACTGCTATCAACTACAATAAGAAGCTCCTCTGACCAAGGTTGGGAGCAGTACAATTGTA